TGCAGCAGGAGCAGCAGTTCGAAAAGATGCAGTTGGCTGGCTTCATGAGTCTCGGAGGAAGCACGTGTTAGGCTTCATCCTTCCCGGGGTTGGTAGCTGTTGTATGATAGGAGAGAGCTGGCTGGTGGGTGGGAATTGGTCAAGACTAGTTCATTAGTAAAAGCTCAGATTATATAACAGCTTGATTTTTTTTTTGTTACTCCAGCCACCTCAGGTTTAATTTTAATCCTGCTTCTTCCTGCAAAGATCGTGTTGAGTAAGCAGCCAGTTTATCAAACACAACGGTAAAAACCGACAGTCTGCCTAAACACGCCTAAATTCCTCACAGAGTGAATGTCATACGTCAATCAACTGATTGTTGGATAGATATGTGCCTTTGGGAAATGGACATAAGCCTAATCAATTCAGTTTTGAATCAGATAGCAGCTGTCAAAATGTCTGCGATGCTCCTCTTCTGCAGTCAAAATGAAATCTTTAAACGCAATTTTCTCCATTTCACACTGTATAATGCAGAATTTTACTTGTGGCTGAAAAACATGCAAAAGAGTAGAACTACTGTATATATAGTGGAAAATGTCTAAAGTTTGATATATGAAGGATTTTCAAGGCTGCCTCACATATTCTCTTTTCTATGTGACATTATAGAGATGTACAGCCGTTCCAGTTCAACCAGTGCTGCTGTCAGACCCACCAGGATAAAAACTATAAAACCTACAGACATGACTTCATCCTCCACTGTTCTGTGTGTACAGCTATAGTGCACCTCTTTGGAGCAACACTGATTAAGTCAGCAGGTCAGAGACGGAACCTAGAGCAGAGGAAATATTAGATGTGTGACTCAGAGTGCCACTAATTTTAAACAGGACATTCATGCATATTGCACCACAGCAATGTTAAATTCTCAAATCTGATTGGACAGAAGGTGCTGATTAATTTTGCTATACTACACTTGTACTGATATGTCATCATGTTTATAGTAACAGCTCATTCATAGGGACTTGAAAGGCAGACATTCTACATAAGACTAATAATAAAGATTTTGTCATATTGTCAATCTGATCATGACAGTAACGTGACAAGCTGAGTTATTTTTTTTCCACCTCAATGGAGAGAAAAAGAGAGGCCGATGATGGAACGACTGTTTATATCCGCTGTAAGATAAATGACAACAGGAACTAGTTTCATGGCACGAAACTAAACGTATAAAAAGTGTGTGTCGTTTATTTAATAAAAAGTGTAATCTCTGGCAAATTTCTTTGCTCTCTGACTAGAGAGGAATAAAAAACACTTTGGGTGTTGCTGTTATAGGACAATATTCACACCACCCTGTTCTTTCTGGCTTACACAACACACGATGATTGCCACGCACAGAAGAAGAGAAACAAATATAAATCTCTCTTTATCTCCATATGGCAATCGTGCTGTATTAAACTCTTATAAACAAAATGAGGACGTACTTTGCTGTTATAATCTTGCAAAGCCAGAATGATCTCGTCAGAGAGCAGACATCTGAAGGAAATCTCAACAAACGCTGTCAGTTTAGAGACTTTACTGCTAGATTTGGTGACGTTTTAGATCACTTTAGTGACTTTAGTTTTAAAAATATTGAGAAATCTAGTGACTTTTTGAGCAGACGTTAGTGACTGTCTTGAACTCGATAAGGCTTTCCAGCTCGCATCACAGCTGCTGTTATACGAGTTGAGACAGCAGGCTCGCTTGACTCACCATCAGTGTGTAATGCCTGACTGTGTTACGCTTATGACTAATCACTGACCACCACTGCTTACCAAAGACCAATCACTGATCGCCATTGCTACCCAACAACCAATCAGTGATATTTAAAGGTGCAATAATTTATATTCTTTATTCCTCACTTGTATAAATAACCTAGAAAATAGATGGAACATAATAGAAACAAAACAATGGCTTAAACCATGGCCTTAGCAAAAGTGTATCAAGTCACTGAGAAAACTCGACTGATAAACTGACCTCTGGTCCAGAACGCTTGTTTGTGTTTGGATCCGCCTCCTGTCAGTCATTTTATAAATACTCTACGAGCCGTAGTAGATCCTGGGGGCGGAACTTCATAAACATGGGCGGGAGCCATTCAAATGTCAAACCCACCTAACAATTACAGACTTAATATAAGATAATAATAATAATAATAATCATCATCATCATCATCATCCCTAATGCACATTTAAATGTTTTTTTCCCCTTAAGCCCACCCCCGACTCCCACCCATGTTCCTGAAGCTCCGCCCCAGGACTTACGGAGGCCTGTCAAGTTGAGTGTCTATAAAATGACAACAGGAAGCCCATCCAAACACAAACAGGGTTTGTCCCTACTACCCAACCACACAGTAGGTGAAAAGCCGTACGCCAAAGGAATAGTGTGTCCGAATTCTCAGCATTCCTAAGTCAGTAGGCGAGAAACACCTGGAGGACCTGCTGCTTCCGCCGAGATTCTGCAGTATGGAAGGAATGGACACGGCGGTATCCCATAAGGCACCGGGACTGAAGCGGAAGAGCTGTCAGAATCAAAAATGGCAGAAGGCTATTTTTAAGTGTATCAACTAAGCGTATGAGTAAATTGTTAACTTGGGGAAGGTTTCAACAAGAATAAACAGATGCTCTAATCTGTCAGGCTCTTTAAGTTTTTGCAGTTACTATGACGTCGTAGGTCACATGACAATGCCAACATGGCGGATGTTATATGTCCAGATTGTATTCATACTACACACATGTACTGATCAGTACGTACTGCATCAACGGCCGAGCAGCAGGTACTGAATCGAATGTCACAGTTATTAAATTATTTCTGATCATGTTTTACATTTCTTTCAGGTTACTTGAACAAATATGAAAATTAAAACAAACTATTGCACCTTTATAACACTCACCATCTTTCCGGACAGAAAGCACAGTATTTTGTAAAGGCGTAAAAGTTTAGATTGTGCCTGGTGCCGTGACCAAAGATGACAAAGATGATAGATGAAAATCTGCCATCTTCATGTACCTTCATTTGTAAGTTGATATGCAAATGAATAACATGATATGCAAATTAGCTTGTGACGTCATCCGGCGCGACACTGATCTCAACCACTTGCAAGAAAGAAAAAAAAAAAACGAGGTTCATAACAATTTCATCGCAATCAATGCGCCTGTGTTAAAGGATATTACGCAATACACTGCAGGTCGCTAGTAAAGCCTGTAGAGAAGCCTCGACACACCTCTCTGAGTGATTAATCTGATCAGATGCGTGTGTGAATATGGGTTTGTGGTCCAGCAGCTGCTGCTCTGAGCGCTTATGAGAAGCAGCCGCCCACGGCATGGCGCGCAGTTTAACTACACGCTCCTCAGCTAGGAAGCCTGTCAGCCAGCTAGCACCTTTACTCTGCCTATCAATTACACATTAATACATATTCACAAAAACATTTTATCCACCTAAACATTTATTCTGTTTATGTGTTGTAAAAAAATAAACACTAAAGTTGGACAGAGACAGTTAGCTTGCGCATAAAGTGATGCTAATTAGCAGCTAAACGCTTTTTCCAAACCTAAGTTTGAGCTCACAATAACTGAAAATATCTCCATCATTAAAAACAGCAACAGAAAGTGACAAGCAGTGACACTTTTTTTTACTATTTGGTCAACTGCGTACCACGGCTAACTAGCTTAGCCGGGCTTCGCCATTCATTCTCATAGCTGAAGGCAGGCTAGTTAGTTAGTTAGCCTAGCTTAGCTTAGCTTAGCTTAGCTTACCTGCTCCTCCAAGCGCTGGATTTCTGCTTCATTTTCTCGCTCGTCCTCCGACGTGTCGTCGTCCTCTTCATCTTCGGAATTCTCGACGCCCATTGCCTCTTCCTCTCCCGACTCCATTTCTCTCTCCATCTCCTCGGCTTCCTCCTCCTCCTCCTTGATATCAGCTAACAGCGTCTCAGCTTCGTTCCCAGTCGCCGCCATGTTTGCGAGGATCTGCCTGGTAACAGGATGCGCGTGCCCGAGCTACAGCCTGATCCAATGAGCTACGGATAAAAAACCAGACCTGCGCTTGTTTTTTTCTGAGCCTATGTCATGAAATGTCTTCTTTATGAACGGGAGAATACTGTAGGATAGTCATTAATCACTAACATTCTGCCAGAGAAAGTGTTAACACTGATGTGATAACTCAACTCAGTGGAGCGGCGGTTAGAACAGCGCCGGGAGTCGAACGCAAACTGAGTCGACTCTCCGATTCCGAGCCTTTAGAAGCCAGGACTTAGAGTCGACTCCGCGCAGTGAAATTGATTCAGTGAGGGAGAGGGGAATCATACCATTCACTTTAGAGTACATTAGTTAGGATGCTTTGCTGTTTTATAAATCAGGTCTGAAAGGACAGAATAGAATATCCAGCACACTTAATTGTAGTTAAGCCAAGAATGAAGTAAAATTTGACTAATTCTGTCAACTGTGCCATCTGGCATTTTCAACATGAGTTTCTATTAGGCTTATAATGAGATGTTTTATCTCACAATAACAAGATGTTTGTCTCATAACAACGAGATGCTCATCTCATAATAATAAGACGTTAATTTCAAGATATTTGTCTCGTTACGAGATGTATGTGTCTTAATAACAAGATAAGGAGATGCTTTTCTCGTAATAACGAGATGTTTCTCTGTATAAGGAGATGCTTTTTGCATAATAACGAGATGTTTCTCTGTATAAGGAGATGCTTTTCTCGTAATAATGAGATGTTTCTCTGTATAAGGAGATGCTGATGGGATTTGGGGATTATTTTCTTGCATGGCAGCACAGAGCTTCCATAAGGAACTGATGTAAAATCACACAAAGTTGAAGAATGTGTAAAGATCATCATTATTCTTGTTATTTACATTTACAGCATTTGGCAGACACCCTTATCCAGAGCAACTTACATTTATCTCTTTTTTTTTATTTATTTTTTTTTAAATACAGTTGAGCATTAAGGGCCTTGCTCAAGGGCCCTGCATGAGCAGCTTGGTGGTGCTGGGGATTGAACTCATGACCTTCTGAGCAGTAGTCCAATGTCTTAACCACTTGAACTACCACTAGCCATATTCTTACTGTCAGTAGTAATAGTATAATATGTACAGTAACTGCAGCTCACGATTACCCTTTTCTTCTTTTTTCCCCAGACCTTCTTGTGTTATGTTTTAGTTTGGGAATCAAGACCTGAGTGTTTGTGCAACTGACTCGGGAGAATCGACTCTATCGATTCTCAACACACCTCGAGTCGGAGTCTCGACTCTCCGCAGCGCCCCCTGCTGCCCGCCGCGGGGATCCACTGCTTATTGGTCAACACATACGGACCCGCCCCTTCTGGGTGACGTCACGGCGAACATGGCGCTCAGGTCGGTCAGGAGCTGTTTCGGGTCTTTCGCGTTTCTCGGCAGAAGCTTGACTTCGCCGGAGATTAAAGCTGTTTGCTGCTACCACAAAAAAGTGAGTGAATATTTCACTTCATGTTTAACTCCTTTAAGTCTGGCTTTCTGTAAGCCAGAATGAACTTTTAGGCCCGAACACCGAGGCTGATCTGAAGTGTTATGTAGCACTTCACGGAGCTAGCTCTAGTTAGCATTAAAACACACACAGTTAGCTAATATACGAAAAGCACACAGTGTCACAAACTCTACAAACATACATTGTAAAACTTTACATTTAATTTTTAGTTAATTTATCTTCAAGAGTTTTGCTCTAAACATTTCCGTCAGTTAATTACGCTCGGGCTGAATCCCAAATCCCACATTAGTCCCTTTGTAACGGAGTGTAAAATAATGATAAGTAACTCTTCCCCCTAACTAGTGCACTACAACTCCGGTAGGGGGCCATTTGGGATTCGGCCCAAACTTTCACCCACTTGGCGCCCCCTCATGCAGTGTTGTGTTTATGAAAGTCATCGTTTATTAACCTGTTCGTTCCTGATAACATTTTGAAGGTGGTGGATCACTATGAGAACCCAAGAAATGTTGGTTCCTTGGATAAGAACGCCAAGAATGTGGGGACCGGTTTAGTGGGAGCACCAGCCTGCGGGGATGTCATGAAGCTGCAGGTAGGCTGGATTTGACCATGTCACTGCTGCTCGTGCGTGTGTGTGTGTGTGTGTGTGTGTGTGTGTGTGTGTGTGTGAGCATGTGACCAGGAGTGACTCTTGTGTTTACAGATCCAGGTTGATGAGAACGGAAAGATAGTAGATGCCAGATTCAAAACGTTCGGTTGTGGATCAGCCATCGCTTCAAGTTCCCTGGCCACAGAATGGGTCAAAGGCAAATCGGTATGTCCTGTTTTATATATATTTATATATGTGTGTGTGTGTGTGTGTGTGTGTGTTTTGTCCAAAGTGTATTAAACATTTTGCGCTCACCTGCATGTGCCATGTGTGTTTTTTTTTTGCTTCTGTTTTCTCCACTAGATTGATGAAGCTTTGAAAATCAAGAACACAGACATCGCCAAGGAGCTGTGTCTTCCACCGGTGAAGCTTCACTGCTCTAGTAAGCTTTAGCAAAGCCTCAATCAACACGCAGTGGCACAATTGTGTTTATCTGTAATGATTACTTATTACACAGGTCCCATTTTTGTACCTCTACCTAAGCGCTGTAGGAGAAAATTGTCCAATCTCTGTCTGACAGTGCTGTTTATTTTCCTCCAGTGCTCGCAGAGGACGCCATCAGGGCCGCGCTGGCTGACTACAAACTCAAACAGAAGGACGAGGAGAAAGTGGCAGGGACTAGAAATTAAACCACGCTCTTTTAAATCTTTCTCTCCAGTGCAAACAAATGGTTTGACATCTTTGCAGAATTTAAACACAGACTGTGCTGCCCAAAACCAAACATATCCTTAGAGTAACATCATTATTGTAAGGATACTCTGAGTAGTACACCTCCTATACTACTGCTGAATATGTAGATCCTCTGCTGAGGGGTTTCAGATAATGTCGTCTTTGCCTTGTCATGTTTGCTGTGAGGTGTTGAGAGGAGGCTTTTTTTGTTTGTTTGTTTTTGATTGGAGTGATGTGTGAAAGGGTGGTGGGTTTCTCGTAATGTCTTTCTGAATCACGCACAAGATGGAAGAATTTGGTCTGTCTTTTTTTTTTTTTTTTGCAGACAAAGATTAATCCATGAAGCAAAACAGCAGGGATTCATCAAAACCAAGAAATATGAGATATTTAGTCTTGAGTACACGTTTTTAGAAAAGCTTATCACTTCCACTGATCCTGAATACAATGTATTTTTAGTATCTCTGATCTCGGGCACTAAAAGACCATTACAAAAGTACATGTCTGCTTATTTTTAACAGTGAAAAAGGCTGAAGGAAGTTTGTCAAAATTGTATATTTGTTTACATTAAATGTTCTGTAAAAATGGCAGTTATCAATCTGCAGTCATACACGCACAACTAATCAAAATAATCTAATGCTGTATTCTACTGTTTAAGCTTAATAAAATTGTAAAACCATGCATTTGCCTGGGGTTGTTTTCAGCAGAGCAACATGACTGAACCAATGATATTAATCAGGGTTTTTCATTCTACTGATTATTCTTCTGATTCTACATGAACAATGAACTTGATAAGCCAAATAATCAGCACACACATTACCCAATATTGATACCATCAATAAGTATGTTTAGGCTACAATGACCAGGATGAATAACATCTTAATGAACATGCTGATGGTTGTTGGCAAAATTCAGAACTGAGCTTGAAGCAAGTTTTAATGTTTACACATGGGCCAGAGAGCAATAAATTATCAACAGTTAGGAACTAGCTGAAATTTTAATTGTCACTAATTTATGTTGATTAGTCATGGATTTAATAAACATTAGTGAATGCAAGTGTATTTCATTAACATTAAAACAAACTTCAATTAATTCACCTTAAATTACTTCGTTAACATTACATATGGTGCGTTAGTGTTAAAGTTCATTGTTAATGTTAACTAATGCAGAAATCATGTTAGTTAAGAGAACCTTAATGTAAAGTATTACCATAATAACCTACCCCTTACTGTCCAGTAGGAATATTCTTCTATCTTGCCTTTTAAAAGAATTAATCCAAGTTTGGGAGAAAGACCATTCCTGAAATTCCACCTCCCTACTACCCTATATTTGTGACAGAGTTTTTGAACCCGCTACCTTCTTACCTTCTCTCTTATTCATCAACTTCTATTTTCGGTGTGGGTGTGTGTGTGGGGGGGGGGTTGTGGGTCTTGTTGACTATCATAAACCAGAAGACATCCAGAACTCCATTTCTCAGAGTTCTCCTCCTTTCACAATCCTAATCATGCTTCATAACACTATCTATTAATGGTGTAGTGTGCATCGATAGCCAAGAACTCTCACTTTGTTAAAAACCTTGCTGGACACTAACTGCCAACAACTGGACAGCATTAAGAGTTCCTTTGACTGCTCACTGAGGACGGAAGGGGAGCGACCCTCTGGGTTTGCCACAAGAGGCTCCTCAGCAACAGGAGTACAGCTAGCAGGAGTAGTCCTGTCAACACACACAGCAGAGAGAGTAGTGTCACAAGTGCTGGGTCATTTGACTGGGTCAAGGTTCGAGGAGTGGCCTCAACCTGCACTCCTGCCTCACTGGTGGAGTATACAGGGGCCAAAGTGCTCAAGAAACCATTATGGATGTTGGATGTGTTGTTCATACAACCAGGATCCTCATCTGTTGTCGGGCTGTGGGGTGTTTGGGTTGTCTGAGGGACAAGGTAAGTGGAGTTTAGTAACAAACACTGTTCATAGCTTAACCCCTCCAAAGAGGATTGGTTTGACCCCTGATGAGACCTAGATGCTGTATGGTTAACCGCTGAGGGGAGTTTTCCATTTGAGTTCATAAGAGAGCTTCTACAGGAGGTTCTCACAGTTCTGATTACATCAGAAGTAGGATTTGAAGATTCTTTTGAAGAATTCCCCAGCATCACCTTGGAAGCGTTGACTGGTGCTAATCTCTCACCAGGCTTCAGGATTCTTGGACAGATAGCCACAACAGAGAGGGTCAGGAGAAGCTTGTGTGCCAGGTGTAATGGCGCTGCACACACCAGATCTGATGCCATGCGTAACCTGTCCATCAGCAGCCACCGATACAGGTACATGATGTCACATTCACAAACCCACAGGTTATTAGCCAGCTCCACAGACCGGAGACGGGGTAGGCCATCAAACGCATGATCAGGCACTGAACGCAAGCAGTTGCTGTTGATCTTCAAGACCTGAAGGTTAACCAACACAGCAAGTGAAGGCAAATCCAATGTTGAAATGCAGTTGGCAGACACATCCAGGTGTGTTAGTGAACCTGGAAGGTGTGAAGGCAGACTTGACAACTGGTTCCCCTTCAGAGACAGCATCCTCAGCCGTGCCAGGCTTAGCAGTGCCCCAGGCTGGATGGCCCGAATGCGGTTGTCTTCCAGGTCCAACCGTGTCAGATTCCCAAGGTTCCTTAGATCCCCAGCTGTGATGAATGTAATGCGGTTCTCCTGGAGCTGCAGACTTTCCAGGCTCGATGGAAGCCCACGGGGGAAGCGATCCAGGCGGTTGTGGCTGAGGCTCAACTCCTGCAGGCTGGAGTACCGCCACAGAACATTGTCCACATTGCACAGGTGGTTTCGGGCCACAGACAAAGCTGAGGTGGTGAGGGGGACAGAGCGAGGGAGGACATGGAGCCCCAGTGACTCACACAGGATCAGAACACCTGGGCGAGGACAGCAGCACCCTGGAGGGCATGAGAATAGGAGTGGGAGGGAGGTGATAAGACAGCAGAACAAGAGCAAAAGAATAAAGGGGAGGCGAAGGCACATGGCTCACTGATAGGAAAGAGGGAAAAACAGAATGGAGACGAAACAGTTAATCACACCTCTGTAAACAGTATTTAATTGGGTAGATCAATTATTTCTTGAATTTTAATTAAAAGATGAGATATTGCTTGCCAAAAAGTTTCTCAACAAAACAGTAGGAACAAGAGAGATGTGACAGGGAGTATGAAAATAAGACATTCCATATCAGTTTACAAAAATCAGTGATTCAGCCTAGCTATATTAAACTTGCCAATTTCCT